CTTCTGATTTCCACATTGAGTGATATAACTCTGCTTTTGGAGACGTCAACAGAATAACATAAGCACCACTTTTTTCAGATTTCTGAGCATCTACAATGTAATAGTTATTCTTGTTCAAAATTGAATTCATAGAATTGGGTTATGCCACCAACTAGAACATTACCGTTTGGCATAAACTGATAGCATTGGTGGATATCTGAATCAGCTAGTTGCCAGACAATCGTAGCTTTTGGATAATGTAAATGAATATAATACAGAAGGTACAGCCCAAAATACGATTTTCCTATACCGGGTGTGCCTGTAATAATGCATCCAAATTTAGTTATATCACGATTAAACGCCTTAATGAGTTCTTTATAGCGGTCTCGAATTAGGAGGAATGATCCTAATCTTTCGTCTCCCAGGAAAAAAACATTATCCGGTAAGCATAAAATTCCTATAAGGCCTTTGGATACAGCTGACCGTACATCTATATCGAGATCAATGTCTTTTCTCTTACAAGCATATTTATTATGTTTAGAAGATATTCCAGGTCGAAGGTTGAAATCTAAATCATGTTCTCCTTTAATTTCAAAGTATTCGAGAAGTTCAGAGTCAAATGGTTCATTTAGTTGGAAAATGATTTCCGCTCTATCAAGATTTTCCAGAATTCAATGACTTCTTTCGCAAATTTGCCTAGGCACATGAAATGGTCAAAAAGGTTAGCGCGTCACGTTTGTGGACCAATTATTATGACGCAAAGGCTTACCTTGATGTTCATCTAAATTGGGTTAGGGGACCAAAAAAGACGAAGCCGGTTAGCAAATATCAAAACGAGTTACACGTCATGACCAATTAGTACGACGCAGAATTTTATGTTAAAGGGATACATACCAGAAGTCAATAATTCTCTCAAATAATCAACTTGCTCTTTATTGGTACAAGTAGGAATGATCTCCTCCGCTTCAGTTTTTTAGATGGATTATTAGTGAATAAGACGCGTAAGGCTTTTCTTTCCTCTTGTGACAATTCAAGGCTTGCAATTGCTTTATATACTGTCATAATTACTAAATAAAGCGTGATGTACTTTGAAGAAGGGAATGAATATAACAATACAATCCGATTTTCTAGAGATTTATATATGATTTAAATTTAAGCTTTTATAAACTTTTTATCATAGACTATATTATGACATAATTTGATTCATTATCAATATGCATTACGCGTCCGATGATTCAATTGATTATAAGTCTCAAACCCAACATCTAAAATAAATATAATTTTTTGCGATTCTCCTGATTTTATTATTCCGATCCACATACCATCATGTAAACTTTATACCCAAGGCCTCACCTTTTTATATGATTTGTAGTAGGTCTAAGAACCGATTGGGAGAAAATTGCGGTATCTAAATAATTGTATTGCGAACGACAACCCCCATCTAATTATCAATGGATAAACGAAAACTCAAAATCTTCCACGGGTAAAGGCCCCGCATAAATGATTTTTAGACCCCAAAATGGCTCGATGGATTTTATTAAAGTCTTATAATCCTAACAGCATTAACACCGCAGATGTTCGTTTGGAAATCGGCATATGAACAAACAAACTAAATCTTGTAATACGACAAATAACAGGTTTTTGATGAAATTGGAAAATTTTAATTTATTTCCAAATTTTTGTTGTTCAATAAACAATAACAATAACATAATAACAACGACAATAATAATATTTTGATTAAAAGACTTGTCTAACATTAACATTAATACGAGAGGTAGACATATAATCTCCGTAAGTTTTCCATTCGGAATCATTGTCATAGTAAGGGTCCAAATATTTAGGAAGAGTTCCTTCTAGGATTCGTGGAACACCTTGAAAAAAAAAAAAAATTTAATATTTTTCCAAAAAGGAAAAAGAAAGAAAAGTTAATACAAACCATGAAAATTAGCTCTACAAGGACCACACATAATTGATATATCACCGCTGCGCAAGTACAATGCAATGGGTGCAGTATCTCTCGTTGATCCCCCAATTAAGAAAATGCATGTATGACCAAAACTAATTATCCAAATAAATGAAAGTTAACTAGATTTTCTTTTAAAAAAGATTATACAAATTATCCTTACATACCTAAAAGAGATTAAAGGAGCCTCCATATTTATTTCACTTTTATCAACATGAGCCATTAAATTATCTTTAAGTTGATAGTAATTAACAACGCCAGCTTCAGGCTTCCATTTTTTATGATCGTAATCATTAATGAAATATTGTTCATCATTTTCTTTTTTTTCACTTGTTATAAATTTCACACCATAAATTGATTTTATTACAAAAGTTGTTAATGATTCAATATCTTTGGGAAATGAATACCTCTTATCTAAATGATAAGTCTTTGTTGGCCAATGATATTGATAACCTAACGTAATCCACCTTATTTTTTTGATTAATTGTGAAACTGTTAATATTGGTACACCTGATGATGGTGGTGGTTCGAGCTTTTCTTCCTCATCCTTCGTCTCTTGTTTCACCGTCTTTTCCCCTTTTTCTTGCTCAGTTAACCTTTTTTTTGAACAAGGAATGCATTGTTCTTCTTGTTCTTCGTATAAAGAACCATCATTATTTGGTTCAATCACAGATGCTTTTAACGGAATAAAATCTTGTGAATGGTTTTCATTTAATTCATTATTAACTATGTTTTCATGCAAATTCCATAAACCTTCTTTTGGTAATAAATAATGAGTATCAAGGTTGCTTTTATTTGGATCTTTCGCGAAATCTTTTAGACATCTTTTAATTATGTGTTTTTGTGCTTTAGGTGTAAAAGGATTAGGAATAAATATAAATCCTAATTCAAAAAACAAATTATATATAAATATATATTTTTATCTTAATACAAAGGAGGAAATACTATGTGTAAATGAATTCCTTTTTACCTGGTAAATCTTTAATTAAATAAGCGGTCTTTCTTCCACCTTTAATGATGTTCTTTTCTTCTTCTTTTAATTCTTTATAATCGCCAAATAAGTTTTCTCTTTCCTCATTTTCACCTAATTCAGCTTTTAATTCAATTTTTATGATTTTCTTCTTAAGTTCGTCATTACAATGATCTAAATTATAAAAATCTATTACGTTAGAGAAATCTGGCGGTGGTAAACGCGACTTAAAATTTCTTTCAGCGTCTCTAAATGGGGTTTGAGTCGTATAAGTAGAAGGTTTCAACCTTGATTGTTTTTTTGCCAACTTTTGTTGTCTGTTAGATCTATATTGCGTTGAAATCATCGTAAACTAATTTTTTTTTTTTTTTTTGTCGGGAAAAATAATATATATTTGATCAAGTTACACGCGAATCTCGTGTGATGTCTGTCGATCATCGAATAAACGAAAATCGTTTAACGATTATCGAAAATCATTTTATCGTTCTTATTCACTTTACTTAATCCTTTTCCGTTCCAAAAAGGAAATAAAATATATTTGGAATTTTTTTTTTTTTTTAAAAAAAAAAAACCCTTCGCACCTTCGGACCCGAAGAGAGAAAGAAACGTTCCTAGAGAAAAACTTTCGCGAAACTTATTGATTCAATATAGAGATTCATTGTCGATCCTATAAATAATATCGATATTTTGAATCTTTTTTTTTTTTGATTAGTAATGTACCGTATCATAAATTTAATAATTACCTCACTTTTACGCGTTTAGTATCAAGGTTTTTTCAAAAAAAAAAACCGAAAATGTGTAAATTGAAATGTTGTGTTACATTACCGATTTCTATCAGGAAACATACCATGTTTTAAGATCAGAGCATCAATGACAGAACATCAGAGTAGATACTTTATACGAGTCAATTATAATTTGTTAAAACGACTGATTGATATTTTTAATGATATTTTAATAAGTATTCTTAAATGACATTATATTACAAATCACGACTGATTTTTTAATTTCCGCAGCAAATCTGACTCTCTAGATACGACAATTCAATAGTATAATTTGATTTTGATTTAAGAGTAAAAAATTCAAACTCCTTGGGTTTGAATTGGATTAAATATCGCGGTTTAATTAATAACTACCATTACTTCATCATCGGCAAATAGACATTTGACGAACATACGAATTGATAGTTGAAACAACGTCCATAAAGTTTAATAAAGTTTGCTGATATATCCCGTGTTCAACATATAAATACGAGATTTCTCCTCTTAACTCTCAGTTTCTTAAAAAAAAGGAGCTTCTGATCCACTTAAAAAAGTTCCGCGTTCTTCCTTTTTCCCTTTGTACAAACTCCACGCACCTCTCATATAGGAAGTCTTTGCCGCTATACTTGAACTCCTATTAAACACTTTAAAATACTTAAAAAACATCCGTTTAATAAAAGTAGCAGATATGTCTACGACAACGGAAGGAAATAATTTATACGCTTTGGAGGACCAAAAACAGAAACAAGAAGGTTCTCAGCAACAAGAAACTGCGGTTCAGATAGAAAATTTTCCTACTGCGCCACACTCGACAAGCTTAACGCAAGGGACTACTTATGCACTCGTTCCTACTTCCTTAACAGGAACCACGTCTCAACCAGTGCCCTCCGTAAAGCAAAAAAGAAAACAAGTAAAAAACGCTTGTGGTAAGTAAAAATTCTTGATATGACCGTTTATTTTAGTATAAATATTATTTATGAGTGGTCAGGAACTTATGGCAAGTTCTATCATCGATTCATCCTAAATCGTGAGATGCAAATTAAACGTGTAAATTCATTATCAAATAAAATAAAAAATTTTTTTTTGGTCGGATAAAAAAAAAAAGGAAAAATCGATAGCTTTGGAATGTGTCACATGAGACACAATTATTAATTTTACGTTAAATTTCTTTGATTATATATAGTTAACTGCCAAAAAGCGTGCAAGAAATGTGACGATGGAAGGCCCTGCCAACGATGTATTAAGTATGAACTTACTGCAACGTGCAAGGATTCGATTCGAAAAGAGAGAAAGAAAGGTGTGAAAAGAGGTCCTTATAAGCGTCGTACACAGCAAAAAGGTAAAAAAAATATATATATTTATTATAATATAAAATATTCTTTATTTTTTTTAAATATTTTATTATTGATAAATAAAAAATTATAAAAAATTATTTAATAGCGCAAGATGTCAAAAATTCGATCATTTCAACAAGTACTCCTGATATCCCTGCCCCCGCACTTGTACCCGTCTCTAATACTGAAGGAAAAGTCGATGGTCAAGATGCCATTCCTATACCCAAAAATTTACCGATAAACCTTTCACAAATTACTGGAACCCAAGTACCTATCACATTGACAACATCCGATGGTGTTGGGCAATTTGTAATCATTCCTCAAAGTTCAGGAGGCGTACCATATTACATTCTTATGCCAGTACAAAGACAAAATCAAACTTCTACTCCTGCTACTAGTATTTGTGCTAGTACGGATTCTTCAACTGGGTCGTCGGTTCAAGACTTGCCAATTAAGATCGAACTTAGGTTTCAACCAGAAAAATCCGAAAAGTTACTTTCGGAAGAAGAGTCGCAAAAGTCCAAATTGACTGCGACGAGTGTAACCAAGGATGCAAATTCGGAAATTATTCCGAATAAAGAAAGAGAAGATAAAGATAAATCGAATTTATCGGTTCTTTCTCTTGTATGTAGTGATTTATTGGATAAAGATACCGTTTCTAATGAACTAGCAAATAAGGAAATGCCCGAAAATCTTCAAGATGGGAAATCAACTAAACAGAATATTAATACATCTGTTAGTTGGAATTTAGTAAACAATAATAAGCAAGAAGTCGTTTCTCCAAGGTCCAACGATATGAAGATACCTGATTCGGTTAAAAATCAAGTTAGAGAAGAAAATTTGGACGACAAGTCGTCAAAGGCATCGGGAAAAGCAGCATGTTGCGGGGAATCTCAAGCTATGGATGCTCCCCGAGTTAATAATCCTCCATCATTTGAGACACCTTCCGTTGGAAGCCCTTTGCTATTTTCAATCCCTGCTAATACTTATCCTGTTGCTCCGGCTGAATATATGTCAATAAAGAGAGAATCTTCAATTGATAATATTCGTAATGTGAAACGAGCGAAATACCAACATGAAGGTTTCACATTACCTCAACATGGTGCTTCATTTTCTCAAAATCAAATACCAATGCAACAACCATATTATGGAATACCACCATTTATTACACTACCACATTCTGTCACAAATCCATCTAATACTTATATGGCACAGAATCCATCATCACCCTTTTATCAATGGAGATATAACGGTCAGCAATTGCCGCAGCAACTTACACCAACTTCTTTATCGTTCGCTTTTAATCCTGGGATGCCTAACGTCAACGCGCCCCAGTCGCATCATCAAGGTTATGCAAATATTTCTGCTCCACCAAGCTCGGATGTACCTTCTCAAATTCAAAAAAACTATTCAAACTATTAATGTTTATAGTTTTTATCATAGTGTACTGTCAACATATATCAATTTATTTTATTTTATTTTATTTTTTTTTTTCGCAAATTTTTATGCATGAATTATATTTTTAATTGCTTTACTACTTAATATAAACAGAATTTTAAATTCTCATGTAATAATATACTTAATAAATATTCCGTAAAGTTAAATTTTTCCAGCTGATTACTGTGCCGCATTTTAAATTCAATTTTGTACAAAAAAATTTTTTTTTGTATCGTGTTTTCGGAATCGATCAATGACATTCAAATAAAACAAGAATCTAATAATTTCATAATTACTTTTTTGATTCTACAAATAGATCATTAACTCGTTAAATATGTGAAGTTTGCCCTGAAATTTATAGATAAAAGCAAAGCAGTAGAGGTTTATTTTTAGCCACGTGTATGTGGAATCGTAGTGGGCAACTAAGTTTGCGGTGTGACATAATAATTTTACTATGATAAATTTTTTTTTTATGCGAAATTAAAATTAATTATTTAGCTGTGGAAATCAGTGATGGCAAATTATAAGGTCATTTACTATTTTTTAAATGACCTTTGGTCATTTTGACTTGAAATTTATAATAAAAATGATGTCATTTGAGGTCATTTAAGGAACACTGGTGGAAGTGCCAATAGTTTTAGGGATGCGGTCCTAAAAGTTACAATGAATTTGCCAGTGATAGAGAAGGTTTTTATTTTATGACGTTATATTTTACTTTTTAATGATAATATATTGATGGAATATTTATTAAAAATATTGAGTTCGGAATCTTTATTTTTAAAATTTAGGATCCGGGGTTCCAACTTAGCGGTCCCATGATCTTTAAAGTTCATTTTTTAACAAGGGTTATTTATTATATATAAGCGATTAGGCTTTTCTATACAAAATCATTTGGAACCGTTTAACATCCCTAAATAGTTAAAGATTCCCACAAGCATTATTCTTTTAATTTTGCTAGGAATCATTCTAAAGAACTATCTTAACATAACTATATTCTTATTTTTTTTTGCAAATCTAAAATGGGTTGTCTATAAAAGAAAAATTTGAAAAAATTAATAGGTTCTTAATTTGAATGTCCAAAGTTTTAAATAGATAAGTGAAATATTAAATGTGTCTTGTCTCTAAACCATTTATAAACCTACTGTAAAAATTTGGAGGTAAAGCCTTGCTTTAACAATGAGTTAAAATTTGTTGATTATAATATATAAATCTAAAATAAATTTGCCAAATTAAATCTCTTATTATTATTATCATTGCATTATTTCCAATAAATGTGTAAATTGATCATTTTCATAACATGGATAAATATCTTGAAAATTGATATAAGCTTAAAAATAGTTGGTTTGTATAATTGCATTCTAAAATATAATCATAAGTGATTATGAAATTGTAATAGAAAGACATACAATACTTATGCATTAATCATTTCAATAAAAATATTATCTGACAAAATGTAAAAATTATTTTTCAGACTTGAATTAATCATAAAAGATATTAATAAATGTTAATTAAAAAGTAAAAATATTACTTTATATTATATATATAAATATATCTCTACTTGATTTTGAATTTTTTCTTGTAAAATTTTATTTTGTTACTTATCTTTCTTGAATAATCTACAAAAATATGATAAAGATAAAAATTTAATCTTAAAGTTAAAATAAATAAAAGATTCAAAAATACTTTTAATATGCTACTTTAAATAATAATTGATCAAATTTTGATAAACTTTTACATTATAATAATTGATCAATATTCAAAACTGAGAAAATTTTTAAATATTATATAATTAAATTATTATTAAAAAGGTTTAAATT